GTCTACCCAGTGATGTTTGCATGGTCAGTGTGTAAAAACCAAGGGGAGGAACGTCGTTCGCATACTGCAGGTTTGTCAGTAGGTCACCTAGCACAAATTGCACTCCAGTATAATCTGAAAGAACCGAGTCATTCATGATCATTTTGATAACAAAGTTGAAGAGGAAAGGAGAAATAAGACAACCCTGGCGAACGCCACTTGTTGCGGAGGACTCAGAAGACAGTTTTCCGTAGAAGCTTACACGGCCTCGGGAATCGCGGTAGAGGGACTACGTAGTGGAAAGGAATTTAGCCGGCACGTCGTTCATGGATAGACAGTGCCAAAAGCTGGCGCGGTTAACAGAATCGAAGGCAGCTTTGAATTCAAGGAAAAGCATCATAGTCGGTCGTTTGTGTGTGCCTCTGCTCTAAAACTTGGTGGAGAGTAAATATGTGGCCGATGCAACCACGACCAGGGCGGAAGCCAACCTGGTTTTCATTGATTCGGTTGTCACGGGAACCATTAATTCGTTGGAAAATGATACCCGTGTGAAGTTTTGAGGCAAGGGAAATAAGGCCAATGCCTCGATGATTTTCTCACTATGTGCGCTGACTTTGAAGATGAGCACGACAGTTGATGGTCGCCAGTCGGAAGGCGTGTCTTCAATGCCCCAAATCGTGTTAAAAAGTGAAGCAACTTCACTCTACAAAGCTTCACCATCTTTCAGTAAGGATGGAGTAAGGTCGTCATGTTCAGGAACCTTGTTCCGCTTCCACACGGAAAGCTCATGTTGAATTTCTTCCAAAGTGGGATGTGTGACATCTACTTCCCGCCTCGGCTCAGGTGATTCGGCAGAAGTCTGTGTTGGAACAAGCCTGCTGAACTATTCTTTAAAATGTTTCGCCCGAGGGGCTAGTCGACGAGGCTGTGAATGGATCACTTTCCCGTTTTTCTCAGCTATTGTCTCTCTAACTGATAGTTTTTTCGGACCCGAGTTCCGGATGAGCTGGAATAGCACCCGGCTGTTGCCAATAGCATTGCATTTCCCCATTTCACGGGCCCTTGCGACCCATCAATGTTCCCGGTCGACTCGAAGACTCTTTGTCAGACGTCGTTTCAGATTTACGGACACGCTGAAACTCAATGCCCATCGGAACCTGTTTATGTGCTTCCATCCATCTGATCGGTGCCTCAAAGATCCATTCACAGTTATGAGTTATCAATTCGGGTGCACAGGAAGCGTCAGAAACATACTTCATGTCACATTTGAGGCGATTTCAGTCAGCGTTCGGTTCTCCAACCTCATTTTTCACTGCTACTTGGTGAACCAGTTCGTCATTATATTGTTGAACTGTAAGGTTAGACGATAAGCGCTCCTTTGAGGCGGGAAGAGTGAGCGCCAAGCGTGCGCGCATTAGGGTATGGTCTGAATCCAGGCACGTGGTTTGACTTGACCGACACTCTTGGACTACTGATGTGCGCCATCTGTAGCTTATGACAATATGGTTACTTTAAGTGTAGGTCATCGAGGAATTCGGTGCGCGCCAGGTGACGCGGTGTGAATGTTTGTGTTGGAAAGCAATGCTGCCAAAGTAAAGGTTGTGGTCAGAGCACAGTTTTAGGACTCGATCACCGTTGTCCGTTCGGCGTGCATCAACTCCGAAGCGACCTCTCAAGTGTTGTTTAGAGTCTGAAAGACGATCTACTTGGGCATTCGTGTCAACAGCGACAGTCACGATGTCGGTATTCTTCGCCACGCGAAGAACAGATAACAGCTCTCGATAGACTTCACCTTTGATACCCTCTGAACTGCATTCAGTAGGGGAAAAACTGAAGCGATGAAAAGTTACCTTGTCTTCAGAGGCTGTTTATTAACTTCAAAAGAAGTTACGGCACTACTGTACGGCGGAATAGTCTGATTGTTTAACGTCACTGAAAAGACGTGTGAACTAGCTCACTGTCAGATCTAACTACGTTAGCACGCACCGTTTCCTTGAATGGGACTCGGTATATGCCACAGCTTGTGTTTCGAAATCTAGTGTGCTATCGATGCCTTGGAGAACTTGTTGATGCAGTTGTGTTCTACACACTGCTTCCAACTGCCGCCTGCTAATCCCGCGGATTTAATTTCCCCTATTTTCTCTCTTTGCTTTGGCACTGTTTTTATCTTTTTCTCTTTATTTTGGTCCAAGGGCTGGCTGGTTTTAGAATCTGCCTGGACTTCCGCAAATCGCTTTTATGCTCTGGCTCACCGTGATCCTGCATTTGGTCGCAATTGTTTTCCAAGCTGTGGTGGACCATTATGCTTAGTTTAGGTGTTACCCGGAACGGCTTCACTTGACTACCAAGTATTAATTTGTCTTCGCTTACGATGATTACCTTCACCCCGATTTGGAAACAATGCTCTTTGTCCACGTTTACTAGTCTCTTCCATCCGCTTTAGCTTGTGCTCTGGCTTCATTGTTACTCTTCAACTGCGTATCGTTCTTAGACAACCCCTCAACCTCCCATTAAACTGCTTACTCATCAGTGCTAGTTGTTCCACGTGTCAACCAACCACCATTTTGTCTGCCACGCGCTGCGTACGAAGTTGTGCTCTAGATCCGGTGAACTTTAAAGCAACCAATTCGTTCCTGTGTGGCAAACACAGCATTTAAGTGACCTACCTGTTGTTACCATAGTCACACCTTGGTTTTCGATATCCTCCATTGTCTGTTACTATGGTGTGCTTTGCAACTATTGACCTCGCACTCAAATGTTAACAGCACTGTTGTGCATGCTGAGTCATTTCACTTGACGTTGATACGGTGTTTGTTTTGACCGCTGCTGCTTCAGTGTCTGTCTAATTGCAGCTTGTTCATAATATGCATTTCTGAGGGCACTTGCGGTGTACTGCACGATCTCGTTACGAA